ACCCCTCAAATAGTGCCTGACACATAGAAGATGTATGACAAATATGTGCTGGAAGAATAAATGAGTAATGTGAAGATTATTTTAAAAGATTCTACACAAAGTTTCCAGAATGAAACCAGATCCAGAGCAAATGCAGGATAGATAATAGCTTTTCTTGATTTTTAAAATATTATTATTATTATTAAAAGAGGCTGAAGAGTCAGGGGATCAAGAGTCCAGTCTGGACGTTATCCCGATGTGGCTATGTGTCTCTTAGCAAGTCACTTAGCCTCTCTGAATCTTGGTTGGTCAAATAAGATGGTGGGTATTGAATGACTAAGGCCTCTTCTCATCCAGCTCTATCATCCTCTTGGGCTAAGATTCTGCAAAGCTGATGGGCTAAGCTATGTGATCTCATATGGCATTTCTCATGATCTTGGTGGGCTCTGAGGCTGCAGGCAGAAAAAACTGAAGTTTAAGACAGTGAACAGAAAAATCTTGGGAAAAGGGAGACAATGAATAGAGTCGTAGTTGAAGCCAATTTTGCTGAGACTCTGAGATCTAGACATTTGTTCTAAGAAGGATCAGGGAAAAAGCAGTGGGATAACTGCGTCCTCTACTGGTGATGAAAGGAGCCCTAGTAGTGGTTAAGTGAAATACTGTGGGTCCCAACTCGGAGTGACCCTGTGTAGGGTTTCTGAGGAGCGGTGGGTTTGAGCTGCTGACCTTGCAATTAGCAGTCCAGTGCTTATCCTACAATGCCACAATTTAAAGATTGCCTCTTTAAATCCAACAGCTACTCCATGCGATAGATGTGACAGTTGGCTTCATAAGATTGCAACACCGGAAACCCTATGGGGCAATTCTACTTTGTCCTGTGAGAAATGTTGTCCATACCGACAAATGCTCAAGAAATCCAATTTGTACTCATTTTAGTGAGAGTGAGGTTTTCTTTATTCAATTTTGCAAAATCAGGCCCCCAACCCTGTAGACACAGGCAGACGCATTGCAAACAGTTTTAGTCCCCTGTTCCTAAAAAGCCCCATCTCCAGTACCCCTTTTACTGGGTACAAATAGGGCTGCTAACCTCAAGGTCAGCAGTTTGAAACTACCAGCTGTTCCGTGGGAGAAAGATGAGGCTTTCTGCTCCCATAAAGATTTAC